TTGATAATTGTCTTCAGCGCTGCTTCATTAGATATGAACATGGTTTTACATTAAGTAACAGGGATTCTTTGATGTGGCAATAATTTTCCATAGACATACTGAACTTTTAAAGAAAATAGTGAAGGCTACATAGGTAAGTTCATAATCATCTGTTATCTTGAATTAGAAAAGTAATTTATTCTTGTAGTTCAAATTTTAAAACTTATTTTTTGTTAATCTTCACCTGAGGGTATCCTTCCCATTGAGTTTTTGGAGCTGGTGAAAGGGAGGAAGAGTGGAGAGAGAGAATGAGAGAGAGAAAATGGAGAAAGAGAAAGATTCATGAGAGAGAGACACATTGATTGGCTGCCTCCAGTAAGCACTCAAAGGATCGAAACTGCAACCCAGGCTTGCGCCCTTGATCTGGAATCAAACCTGAGATCCTTCTGTGTGTGGGCTGATGCTCCAACCACTGAACCACTGGCCAAGGCCCAACTTGTTTTTAAAACTTAACCTTGATTATGCAGTGATCAGGGATTTTTTTTTACTTTAACCTTTTGGGGAGGGGTGCTTGATAAAGTTTATCACAAGACCATGGTGCAGATTTTTAAAAATTGCAATGGCTTTAAAAGAATTTTGGGACAAAATTAAGTTTGAAAAATTTCAGTGTTACCTTTCATTCCCAAGTCTTGGTTTACCATCTCAATTGCTTTGCAAATATAGCACATAGAGGTCTGGACCCTTGACTCTGAGGTAATACTAACTTTTCTAAGAAGTTATTAGTTGAATATGTTTGATCAAGTTATCAATTTGTACTTTCCTGGATTTCATTTGAGTCTTTGCTGAACTTTACATTTCTTTGATAACCACAGTAAATGTTACTTATGACCTTTGGAGGAAAAGATTGTATGTGTGTTTGTGTGCCTGTGTGTATAATCAATAAATTATTTTCCTGAAAAATACTTGCCATCAATAAAACTGAAAAAATGTGCCTTGTGGCTTAAATAGTTACAATCTTTTTTCCTTCAATATTTTCTAGGTTTCAATGTTGATATTTACAAATGCTAATTCTTATTTCTTAAATAGAACCATATTTTATGTACTTATTTCTTACTTTTGAGTTGCTTCATGAATTTAAAATAACCTTTTCTGATTCATTAGTTTAAAACGTAAAATCCTGCTTTTCAAAAATTTAGACTTCCTTGTCACTCAGAATTTGTGAGCTTGCTTGATTTGACAGTGACCGTTTTCATACATTTCAGATTTTATGAGCTCCTTCTAAGTCAGTCCATCTCCCATATCAGAGGTAACCATTCTTCTATTCTGATCACCATAGGTCAGTGTTTCCTGTTTTTGAATATCATATGAACGGAATCTTTTTTGCCTGTGGCTTCTTTCACTCAACATAGTGTTTTTGAGATTCATTTGTATTATTTCATATGTCAGTAGTTTTTTCTATTTTAATTGCTGCCTAGTGTAACCATTAAATATACATGCCATGTTTTGTTTGTCTAGTCTGTTATTGATACATCCTTGGAGTAGCTTCCAGTTTGGGGTTATCCTATATAATAAAAGACTAATATACTAAGTGTCTGGTCGTCCAGTCGGCCGTTCAACCAATCAAAGCATAATATGGTAATGATACGCTAAGGCCACTCAACCACTCGCTATGACGTGCACTGACCACCAGGGGGCAGTCAGTTGACTGGTCAACCAGTCGCTATGATGTGCACTGACCACCAGGGGGCAGATGCTCCAACCGGCAGGTTAGCTTGCTGCTGGGGTCTAGCCAATTAGGACTGGGTGAGATGGGCCGGACACGCCCTGGAGCCCTCCTGCGGTCCCTCCCTGGCTGGCCATCCCTGGCCCCAGTCATGCATTGGTGGGGTCCCTCGGCCTGGCCTGCACCCTCTCACTATTTGGGACCCCTCAGGGGATGTCAGAGAGCCAGTTTCAGCCTGATCCCGCAGGCAAGGCCAAGGGACCCCACTAGTGCACAAATTTATGCACTGCCCTGTAGTGAGTAAAGCTGCTACAAACGTTACTGTACAAGTCATTTACACGTTTCATTTTTCTTTGGAAAAAAAGTCTAGGAGTGGAATTATTGAGTATAGGGTATAGGTATGTTTCTTATATTGTCAAACAATTTTCCAAAGTTTCCTGCTTTATACTCCCATGAGCAGTGTATGTGGATTCTGTTGCCCTGCACACTTGTCTACACTCAGCATTGTCAGTCTTGTTAGTTTTAGACATTATAGGGAGTGTGTAGAGGTATGTCATTGTGGTTTTAGTTTACATTGCTCTAGTGACTTCTCATGTGAATACCATTTCATATGCCTTTGGGCCACTCAGATACCCTTTTTTTGTGTGAAGTACTTTTGCCTTTCCCTACTCATCATACCCCCATTGCTATTTATAGTTAGGCTGTGTGGTTTCATTGTTATCTGATGCAAAACATTGGTGTATGTATAACCTATGATGTAAAAATAAAAGTGGCTTTGTTAAAATCCTGGAAAACCAGATGCTGTTGGGAATCCAGAGTTAAATGTTCATATTATGGATTTTTATTCATTTGTGGAAGTTATTCATTATATAATTGAATTTTCAATTCAGCAGTCTTGAAAATTAAAGTTTACAATTTTTTCTTTTTCATTTCTAATGATATTGTTACGTAATTTGTTCACCAGTTAAAACTATTGCTTCAAAAAGCAGAATAAACTTCGTATGTTGTCTCCTATTTTACAAATTTCTTCTTTCATGGGCATTTTCTCAAGTTCAGTACGAAATGATGGCCTTTGAGTTTTTTGCCTTAATCTTTTTGATATTATTCTCCACATACAATTTCTCTGTATTGTTGGACATTCTTTGCTGCTTAAATAGAATCTATTAGTTAACACTGTAATAAGATTACTTCACTGGAGAGTATCCTGCATATTTTTCCTGTTATGAATTGCTTGTAATAATAGCATTTGGCTTATTGATTGCCTTAATCTGAGTCTTTGTCATGAAGGCAAAGGATCATCAGGTGTGAATACTGTTACGTAGATCTTCCTGGACATGTTTGATAATGTGGAGCCCCGGCCCTGTGTTGAGCATGTAGATAACGATTCCTTCATGTTTCTCTACCATGGGGTTCCGCTTGAGAGGAAGCCTGCCTTTGAGGTTGACTTCTGGCAAGGAGTCTTTCAACAGGAGTCCTTATTGAAGTCCTGTTTCTTGGGTTCTTAAAACTTGTACGTTGTAAATTGAACAGCTTTGCAGAGCACTGTTCTTGCCTCTATGCTTGTTGAATTCTGTTATGTATATTTGAAACATTTCTTAGAATGTTTCTATTATTTATGTAATTCACATATTACAAATATAAACTATATGTAATTTATGAATAATTGTAGACTCCTGTTCTCAGTAGAAAAGGATACCGTTTGTAATTTAAAAGAGAGGGGAGAATATTAGGTGCATTATTACTATTAAGAATGGGACTTTGTGTCTTCAATGCTTATTCTTTATGAAAAGTCTTCAGAAAAGTATATGTGGTATTTGGCTTGTATACATTTCTGACTATATGAAAAACCTTAGGGTGTGGTTAGAGATGCTTTTTCACTATTAACAATTCAAATGTTTTGGCATAGGAGGGTAAAATGCAACATTAACTTGCACATGGTTCTCATTGACCCAGTTTTATCCTAAAATTAATTAAAAACACTATTTTTGTCCAAAGTGGTGTCACATAGTCTTGTTACAGTTAAGCTTTAAGATTTTAATTAAAGGAGACTTTTTCTTTTAATGCTTTCATTTTTTTCCATATTTGACAGTATCATTTTGATGAACAGCTATTCCTTAAAGTGCCTTTATCTTTGTGTATGTATTCTCACAGATTTCAAAACCAAATTACCAGTATCACTAAAAAGATGCACATGTAAAGGAACTCCACGTGATGTTTCATTAGTGTTGATTATATTGCAGTGTACAGGAAAATTGGCCACAGAACTTGACTGGCTTTGAACATTATGTTCAAATAGTAAGATAAGTCTCCTTTTTAAAGCCTAAATATTGGCAACTAGAATTTGGCTAAATTCTAGAGATTAGAGTTGTGGACTACTGTACTGTCAGTGTCAGGTACCTTATAAGACACACATTTTCTAAGGATATGAAACATAAAACTGCCCTAATTAAAAATCTGGGGCCCACACTCTTGTAGAACATTGTTCCAAGGTTTTTTAGTAGTGTAAGTAAGAGTCTTTCTGATGGATTGCAGCAGACATTTATGTGCCCTCCCTCGCTACAAGAATAAAATTTTGTAAATAGAGTAGGAATCAGGATTCTGTGTAGGATTTTGGATAATACGCCTTCAAGAGATCTATGGAAATAAAAAAAAGGGGGGGGGATTTAGCGAGAGTCAATATTTTACAATCATTAGCAGACTTGAAAATTTAGTGTTTAGAATTTAATAGTTTTTAATGCCAAAACATAAAAGTGAACTGAATTTTAAGTTAGTTGATCTTTTTTTTTTAAAAAAAATTTTTTTTTTTTTTAATATATTTTATTGATTTCTTACAGAGAGGAAGGGGGAGAGAGAGAGAGAGCTAGAAACATCGACGAGAGAGAAACATCGATCAACTGCCTCCTGCACATCCCCCACTGGGGATATGCCCGCAACCCAGGTACATGCCCCTGACCGGAACCGAACCCGGGACCCTTCAGTCCGCAGGCCGACGCTCTATCCACTGAGCCAAACCGGTTTCGGCAAGTTAGTTGATCTTTGAGGAAATGAATTAAAGAAACATTGTACTGAATGGAAATAATCAAATGTGGTATAGACTTTAAATAGCATCCTAATGAAAACATTACTCTTAAGACCTCTAAGGAATGAGGTAACATTTCTGTCTTTTAAATCAGTGGTCACTAACTGGTGTCCGTGGACCACTGATGGTCCGTGAGGTCCGAAAGGTTGGCGACTGCTGTTTTAAATGATTACTGAAACTGGCTTATAAAAGGCTAAATCTGATTTTATTGTATCCTAGGAGAATGAAATAACACATGGATGAAGCTACCTGAAATCCTACTTCCAGCATGAATCAAGTTTAGAGATGATATCCTGAAGTCATTTATTTTCAGGTGGGTCTCTTGTTATAATTGTTTATTCGTTCCTTCCTAGTTTTGTTCTTTTTATTTCCTTTATTGATTAAGGTATTACATATGTGTCCTTATTACTCCACTGCCCACACCCCCTACTCATGCCCTCACCCCCCTGGTGTCTGTGTCCGTTGGTTATGCTTATATGCATGCATACAAGTCCTTTGGTTGATCTCTCCCCCTTCCTAGTTTCTTTAGTGATTTTCCCTGGTGCTGTTGACTTGGTGAACAGTCCATTTTCTCTGAGCAGTGATGGAGGTTATTTTTTTAAGTTGTCTTTTTTTTTTTTTTAAATACTTACCCAAGGATATGTTTATTGACTTTAGAGAGGAAGGGGGTGGGAGTGAGGAGAGGGAGAGAAAGAAACATCAATTGCTTGTCTCCTGTACATGCCTGGACTAAGGATTGAACCCTCCACTTAGGTACGTGCCCTGACCAGGAATGAAACCCATAACCTTTTGGTGTAAGGAAAGACATTCCAACCAGGTGGGCCACCTGGCCACCGCTGGAGGTTATTTTTAGCTCCAAATTGCCCTTGTATTTCCTCAATAGTAGTAAGGTGCCTTGATTTGTCTTTAGGTAGAACTGGACTGAGAATAGAAATTACATATTGTCTTACTAAAGGGAAAAAAATCCCTCTTGGTATTCAGCCTAAAATTTTAGTCTTCTGCTCCCTTGGAGAGACTGTAATCTTAAAATGGTTTAATATCATAATATCCGATCAATGGTAGGGGGATAGAAGGTCCCTTTCTCCCTTGTTGCTTTCTAACCTTTGTAGAGGGGTAATACTTTTTCTATTGTTTTGTTAAGTCAGACACAAAATTTTATGTTAACATTTACAATTCTGTGATCTTTATGACAGAATTTGGATGATGTTGTAGTCATCCTGACAGATCCAGGAAGTATTAAGTGTATTATTCCTTATCTGCTGATGACAAATTCCATTCTCTTGGGACCAGAAACGCAAGCATTACCTGAGCCTCTTGAAAGTGCAGGATCTCAGGACACACAGTGGAACTACCGCCATTTCAACAAAACTCAGAAATTGTCATGCACACTGAGGAACACTGATGTAGCATACTTGACTTTTGAGAAGTTTAACCATTTAAAAATATCTGACAACTCATGCAGCCCTGAAATGTGACAGCCATTTTGCTACTATTGTATAGCTCTAGAAAATTAATGTTGGGCAGTGATTTTCAAAGCTAGTCCCTAATAGCATTATCATCTGGGAACTTAAGAATGAACATTCTCAGATCCACCCTTGCTCCACTAAAGAAAATCTTGGGGTGGGATCCAGCAACGTTTTTTGTTTTGTTTTGAAAAGCCCTACAAATAGCCCAGCTGTTGTGACTGAGTGGTTGAGTGTGGACCTATGAAGCAAGAGGTCACTGGTTCAGTACCCAGTCAGGGCACATGCCCGGGTTGCAGGTTTGATCTTCAGTATGGGCATGCAGGAGGCAGCTGACCAATGATTCTCTCTCATCATTGATGTTTCTCTCTCTCTCCTCCCCCCCCCCCCTAAAAATCAATAAATGTATTTTTTTTAAAAAGCCCTACAAATAAATCTGGTTTCTACTAGAGAACCCCTTACCTATGGGTCAAGAAAAAAATCTAATATGTGTAGGCTAAATGCACCACACACCAAAGCATTTGTTATTGGAACTTTAGGATTTTGAAGTTAATTTTGGTTAAAAAAAAAAGTGCCCGGCCAACATTGCTTAGTGGTTGAGCATTGACCTTTGAACCAGGAGGTCATGGTTCAATTCCCAGTCAGGGCACATGCCCAGGTTGTGGGCCCGATCCCCAGGGTGGGACAGCTAAAAAATGACCTCTCATCACTGATGTTTTTCTCCTCCCTCCCTCTCTGAAATATATAAATTTTACAGTAACTACTTTCCATTACAGAATTTTATTTTCTAGTCAGTGTAAAGATACTGGTTCGTTGAAGATAATTTTATTAACTTTCTGAACATTAAGTTAATAAAATATAAAATACAAATTTAATACTCATAGAAGGAAGTGACATGGCAATTTCCTCTTTCAAAAATCTTTTTTTTTTTTTTAAATATATTTTATTGATTTCTTACAGAGAGAAAGGGAGAGAGAGAGAGAGAGCTAGAAACATCGATGAGAGAGAAACATCGATCAGCTGCCTCCTGCACACCCCCCACTGGGGATGTGCGCAACCCAGGTACATGCCCTTGACCGGAATCGAACCCGGGACCCTTCAGTCCGCAGGCTGACGCTCTATCCACTGAGCCAAACCGGTTTCGGCCTCTTTCAAAAATCTTTAAAAACATTGACGTCTTCAGGTTATCCTTTCAGTGGTTCTCATGCTTGGAGGTGCAGCAGAATCCCCCGAGGACCGGTGAAAGTGACTGCTGGCCTCGCCTGCATGTGATTTGGGCCTGAGGTTCTCATTTCTACAGAGGTGGGGGACTCTGCTCTGGGAACCACGGCTTTTTAGTATTAACATATTTATATCCCCTCAGGTCCTTAATCTCTATATGACCTCACAACAAAATGCCAGTCCTAGAAGTAAGTGAATTATTGAATAATATTTTATAGTTCAAACAGACTATTTCGATGCTTGAATATTTTTAGGTCTGCTGCTCAGTGACTCAGCAAATTATTTTCTTTGTAACAGAATGCTTGTAAAGACATGGGAGGAAAAAAGCCATAAACCGATTGTATTTCACTTGTGAGTTTATTACTCCATATTAGCAATGTATACATATAGGAGCAATAACACAACATTTAAAAAATTAGGCCTCGTGGACAAATTTTCTATGATTTAAATATCGGAATAGAGCAAACTTTACATTTTTGTTCAGTTTTTGGTTTTATTTTATTTTAAAGATGTGTACCTACTCCTTGTGTGGTCTTTCTGGTTAATGTTGTAAAGTATTATGGTAGCAGCCCACAAATACAGAACAACGGACAAACCTACTTTTCAACTCTTTGTGAATGGGAACCACTGGAGGGATCTTTACCCCCGGCAATTTTGGGTCAGTCTCTAGGATAAGGAGCCATTCAAGAAGTCTGTCATTGTTGTGAGAAAAATCATGTTTTTACTAAAGCATATATCTTGGCCCAAGGAAAGTAAATGGGCGATATGAGTAAGGCAGAGATAATATGTTGTAGAATAATGGAAATTATATTCTTACAAGTTAAACTGATTAGATTCCAACTGGGAGTCCCTCTGGGAACTCGGATGACAGATAACTATTTTCCAGTTTTGTAACTGATTTAATTGTGAGCCCTCTTTCCAGCTTATTATTAGGGGTCCTGTGTACACGGAGGTAGCATCCAGGCCTAGAGATCCCAGACTGGGTTGGAAAGAAGTATTATATGTTAGCACAGGATGGAGGAAGTAAGGTGTATTCTATCAGCCATCCTCTGAACTGAGCAACATTTAGTTTGAGATGTTTATACAGTATTAACTGTATTAACTATATGAAAAATTTCAAAGTTCTCATTTTCAAAGTCAATTTTGGCTATTGTGATATATAAAGGTTTGGCAAAAGTAGATTTATACTTTTCAGTTTCTCCCAGTTTTTACTCAAAGTCTAGACTTTCACGGTAAATGGTTTGTGAGGCCCTTTCGCCGTTTATATTCTGTTAGCACTATTAAGTTATCCTGTGATTTTTATTGCTAACAGTGTAGCTAGTCTATGTGGTTCAGTGGTTAAGCCTCATCCTATGAAGCAGGAGGTCATGGTTCAATTACCAATCAGGGCACATGCCCAGATCCCTAGTGGGGGGAGTGCAGGAAGCAGCAGATCAACGATTCTCTCACATCAATGTTTTCATCTCTCCCTCTCCCTTCTCTGAAATCAATAAAAATATATTTTTAAAAATAATAAAGCTAACAGTGTAATGCTGAGGATTTAAAAAGCAGCACCTGAGTTCCAAATTGCAACCTCCTGACATCCCACTGAGTAAATCCCACAAATTTAAGAATTCAGATGGAATGACTTGAAGATACTGTATGAAATTAAATAATTTCAAATTCCTGGACTGAAACCAAACTATTTAGTGAGTGTTACTAGGTACTTTTCTTTGGTACTAAGTATTGCAGATAAAAGAATGTGTAATGTGCTGTCTATAAGCCATACTCAGAGCAGATCTGAATGGTGTAGTAAGGAAGTTAAGTTGACTGAATAACCCAATTATGTGTCCTTATGTCATTATACATTGGAAAGGAGGAATGGCTGAGGAGTGATTTTTCTTTTCTTTTTTTTAAGATAAAATTCGAGCAAAAAGCTATTACTAATTGCTTTTCAGGGAGTCTGGCCAAAGAGGAATGCATCCCATTTGTGATGACCTGCTTAGTCATGAGATCACCTGTGGTTGAAATAATAAGCTCAGGTATGTGTTCTGTGTTATTTATACACATTTTATACAAGGAGATTGATTTGTTTTGACCTGTGGTACTAAGCCTATCTGTATACGTTTTGGTAAGTTAATACTTAGAAATTGATTTGTTTCCCAGAGAAATCACTGTTCATACCATTTACATATATGAAACCAGAACTTTCAGCATTTTCCACTCAGGGACAAGTATGTTTTTAGAGAAGCTATACTTCTGAGCAACTGTATTAAATTATGTGCCTCTACATGTATTCCAGTTAGCACATCTGGCACCGACTCAAACTTTCATGTTCTCTGATCCTGGTTCAGTTGAAATAACTCACTCATTTTCCCCTTGATGACTTTTCATAGCTCATTCTTATTTCTCAGCCTAAACTCCTAAAGGAACTGTCTTATTTTCTACTCACTAGTAGTTATGACCTAATAGAAATTTTCTTAAAAAGCCCATTCCTCTTATATGTACTGGACCAAGGTACTATTGACCCCCTCCCCCTTAATGATCTTATGCACTGTTGCTAACTCAAATCTCAATTTTTTTTCAAAAGCTATGAAATCAGATACAGTACTAGTACAAAATTTAGCTAAAAACTACACATTTGGTATCCACATTTATATGGGATACAAAGAAATAAGAAAGACCAACATTGTGGTACTTTAATGAGAAAGGCAGTTTCAGTATGTAAAATAAAAATGGCTGTCTGAATTGTAAACACAATGTATAGGGGCTAATATGTGACATTCTGAAAATTTTATTAAAATTATAACTCACAATTATAAAACTAATCAGGAACTACATTTTAAACATTTCTATAATCCAGACTGAGCTTGATTTATTAGTTCGCCAAATAAGAGTTTTACCTATGGAAAAGTTCAGTAACCCCACGGTCTAGCCTCCCAGGATTCAAAGTAAGGGCACGTGTAATATTTCTTTTTAGGCCTCACAACGTTCTGGTTGATTTCTTAGGGTCTGATCTTTTCAAATAAAGGAAACATATCAGAAATAGATCAGACCTTTTTGCTCCAATTTCAAGGGGGGAAAATTCATACTTTATTTACAGAAATTCACCTGGGGTAGTAGAAAATGTCAAATTAAAAAGAAAATTTCAAGTTAACAAAAAAAGTAATTTTCTTAAATAACCCTGTACCATTCCACATTGTGGAAAACTAAGTATGCAGTTCAGACACAACATCAACTTCAAAGCACTGGCACAAATACTTACATTTCTGTATTTTATAATATATTACATAGAACACATCATGTCCCACATATAACAGATGATAGGCCTTAAACTGCATGAGGTTTGCAGATCAAACTTTAAATTTGAAAGTGTTAGCTGTGCCAGAATTCCAAACTGCTTGGAAGGGAGTATTTAAAAATAGGTCTGAAAGCCATTCCATCCCAAGTCTCTGTTTGATCATTGCAGCTGCACTCTGTACGCACCTATTAGCAATTTCACCTATAGGAAGCAAAAAAAAAAAAAAAAATGCATATGGATCAGCACAGAGGTAGTTCTCTTTTCTTAGAAGAGGGGAGAAATATACATGCCCAAGACTTGTTTCCCAAATTGGTTATCAATGTAAGTGGTTAGATTATCACTATTATAATAAAAAATCCAAGTGCTGCCCTAGCCGGTTTGGTTCAGTGGATAGAGCGTCGGCCTGTGGACTCAAGGGTCCCAGGTTCGATTCTGGTCAAGGGCATGTACCTTGGTTGTGAGCACATCCCCAGTAGGGAGTGTGCAGGAGGCAGCTGATCGATGTTTCTCTCTCATCGATGTTTCTAACTCTCTATCCCTCTCCCTTCCTCTCTGTAAAAAACCAATAAAAAAATATATATATACAAAAAATCCAAGTGCTTATTATTTGATTTTGTTATTATATTTAATACTTGTACTATTATACAGACACCAGCTTCATTTTACAGAGAGTTTAGTGACTAGCCTAGCGACATAACATATGGCAATTAAATACCAAAGCCAAGACTGCTATAGAGACACAATATATTGTATATCTGCCATGGTTTACATTCATATTGCACTGACTTCTACCCAAGGGAGCACAGGTCTCTAGGACAGGCATACCAAGAAGCCACAACGTGATAAAGTTACCTAGCATAACAATTTGAGTAGGAACAATAAATATGAGGAAAGAATTCTCACCTTAGCAGAGGGTGCTTCTGTCAACCTTATAAAGAGTTTATTGAGGCCTGCAACAGGGCTGAATGAGTAAACAAAATGACTATCCTAGGGAAAGAGACCAAAAAGGGTCAGTATTTCTTTCAACATCTACATCTAGAAACAGCTAGGCCAAATCTGAAAAGACCAGAAACCTTTAAGACTCTAAGTTTTGTATTTGAATTCATGAGGTAGTAAGCTGTGATTTCTTTAATTTCCCTTGACTTATTAAAAAGTTACAAATGAAAAAACAATATCCAGGTAAATCTTTATGATTAGAATGCATCCAGTAATATACAGCATGAGTGTTAGGAAAGAGTTCTAAATGTGACCAAGGAATCATGCATTAAGGTTCTTCAAGGGCATTTCTTATATTAATACGTTAAGCGCCCTGTCAGTCACCAGTGACTGACACTATACTTTCTGTCCAGAAGACAAAACAGGCTGGGCACTTAAACGCGTTAAAAAGGAAGGTTTACAACCACTATGTATTTTTATTTTAAAATATTTGTAATAAAAATACAAATTTTAGCATAATGAAAGCTAAAATTAAGCATAAACTAAGCCAGTGATGGCGAACCTTTTGAGCTCGGCGTGTCAGCATTTTGAAAAACCCTAACTTAACTCTGGTGCCGTGGCACATATAGAAATTTTTTGGTATTTGCAACCATAGTAAAACAAAGATTTACATTTTTGATATTTATTTTATATATTTAAATGCCATTTAACAAAGAAAAATAACCAAGAAAATGAGTTCGCGTGTCACCTCTGACACGCGTCTCATAGGTTTGCCATCACTGAACTAAGCACAAATACAACAGTAGGACATTGGTTGTATTTGATTATTTGAAGCATGAACAGGTATACTTTTCTTCTTTGTTGAATTTCCTGTAAGTGAATGTTTATAATTATAATGGTGGGAAAAGGCATAATATTTAAATTCTTATACCTGATGATTACAGGTTATTGCCTCATTTCCAACAACAGGTTTACTGAATTATAATTAACATTTTATTAAAACATAGCCATTTAAGTCATCTTTTGATTAGAAAAATGTACTTTTCAGTAATGAACTATAGAAAAATCTTACCAGAAAAACAGGAAGTTGAAATTTATCATTTAAAATTACAGCTTGTACACTACATGGTCCACAGAGTCGAGCAATAACATCTTTACCCAAAAAATTTGCGTGGAAAATGAATAGCAGGATGCCAGAGCCTGAGCAGGAGAGATGCACACACAGATTTTTAACCCAATCCTTGAACCTCCACCCTCCAGTACCTAAGGGAGGAGCTGAGGTGGGGATGGGTAGGGTAGAAGAACAGACACAACTTGTGTGTCATGCCCACTCTCTCCTCCCTAGTGAAGGACTCCTCCAATTTTCTAAACCACAACTCCTGTCATTTTTTGTCTATGTATTTCCTACTGATAGCTCATAGAATAGACTTTTTAAAATGTGCTTTTAAAATAAAATAATTTTACCGCAGAAAAGAACTGGCATTTGCTGAATGCAAATGCATAGATATCCCTGGAAGTAAACCACTGGGCATTCTATGGTAGTTGTGTTTGGGTGTGGGTTTGAGTGATTTTCTGTTTTCTTCCACATACTGTTTTGCCTTTTCTAAATTTTGTGATTAATAGAAAAAAAAATCTCATTTTGGAAAAAAAAGTTAGCATGAGATTTGAAAAAACTCAAGAACAGACAACAGTGTGGGATTGTGGAGGGTGAGGCGGTAGGAGGTGGAGGAAGATATAGATAAATGGTGATGGATGTAGACTTGGGGTGGTGAATACACAATACAGTGTACAGATGATGTGTTGTTGAATTGTGCACTTCAAACCTGTATAACCCAATAAATTCAATAAAAAGAAAAAGTTAAAAATAAAAATATTCTACAAGGTTAATTTTGAAGAAAAGCTATTCTTTTTAAAGGAACAGTTTATTTTTAGACAGAGGGGGAAGGAGAGGGAAATTGTGAGAGTGAATTATCAATGATGAGCTGCCTCCTGCACACCCCCAATGGGGATCAAGCCCACAAATAGGGCATGTGCTCTGACTGGGAATCAAACCTGCAACCTTTAGGGCATGAGACTATGGCCAACCAACAGAGCCACATTTGCCAGGGCCCCTTTGCTTTCTTTATTCTGGTCTGGGAAGGAAGGGCACACCTTGTCAAACTATTTACGGTTTGACAGTGATTTTGCTTTCCAGCTTTATAATGCAAACTGACATGAACAGTCAATGCCAAGTTCACCAAATTGTGAGTAGTTATGAATGGCTATCAATTATTGATAGGGCTATATATTCATTTTACTTAAACAAAACAGAAAAAGCCAGAACCCAGCTTGCTACGTTTAGGAAGAGACTCAGCTTTCTGTATGTATGGCATCTGTGTCCTAGAGAAGGCATGGTGGCCAGGAAGCAGAACTGAAGTTTCTATTTTCTGCTTTTAAACTTTATTAAAGGGCAGACATACATTTTTTTCTTTTTAAAAAGCCAAGACTATTACCAATAATAAAATCCAGAAGAAAAAAGAAATTGATTCTGGGCTCAGAATGTAAAAATTCAAATAAAAAGACCAAACTGCCATACTTTTTAAACAAGTTCTACAACATGCTCTGTGGACCCCTCAAAGTCACCTGGGATGGTAGATATCAGTTGGTTTCTTTTTTTCTGCCAGAGCAACTCTGTTGATAACTGTTTTACATAATTATTATACTAACAGAATTTTAAGATTTGTTTAAAGAATGAGTTCTAAATCAGTTAACAGCTATAGTGTCACATTTCAAACAGAGAAAATGTAGGCTTACCTTCTGTTATGTTCTGTGGAGGTTTATAATTGAAATCCATTGAAAAATCTGGCCCCTCACAGAGACGATGACATGCTATTGGAAAAATTGGTTCTAGAAGAGCAAGGCGTGCTTCAAAGTAATCCTTTATCGTTTCTTCTGCTACTCTTGAAAGTCTAATAATAAAGTATGTAGTAAGAGTTACTATTAATGTAAAAAAGAATCATGAGCCATATAATTATAAAACTGTTAAATCCAGATCAACCTTAAAAATAATATGCAATTCCCTCATCCCTCTACTCTGCACTGGGCACCTGACATGCCATTTGTCTTTCTTACTGTCTGTCCTCTCCCAAGGATTCCGGTTCCATGAGGGCAGTCCTTACCCCCACTGCTCTCTCCATCTCCCCAGCAGTCTGAAAAGTGCCTGGCACATAGTGTTCAATAAATATCTGTCTAATAAATGAATGATCAATTTGGAGAATCAGAAATGAGAATTCTGTTAAAAAATAAATCCAAGAATTGGCACACACACAAGCAGTCAAGTAAAATTCAGAAAACTTTTTTTCATTTAAACAGTTTTTAATGAAAGCTGTATATAAGATTACTTTATTCCTGCATTTTCTCAATTGTTTCTTATGTTTGCCCTTTTCTTTTTTTTACTTGGTGAGATTTGGCTTTACACTCAAGGATTTTTTTGTGATATTTGTTCAGATTTAGTCTAGTGCAGGGGTGGGCAAACTTTTTGACTCGAGGGCCACAATGGGTTCTTAAACTGGACCGGAGGGCCGGAACAAAAGCATGGATGGAGTGTTTGTGTGAACTAATATAAATTCAAAGTAAACATCGTTACATAAAAGGGTACGGTCTCTCTTTTTTTATTCATTTCAAAAGCGCTGGCCGTAGTTTGCCCACGGCTGGTCTAGTGATAACCACCTTGCTGGGGTGAATGACTAAGATTTCTACAGATGGCAGAAATCAAAGTATTTTCCCAATTTGCTGCCCTTTGTCATCCTTTTGGATGGGCATGAATTGAACATTGTACGTCTGCCTCAACTCTTTGAAAACAGGAGAATATGTGGAAAAATGCATTGAAATGATTTTTATGGTTTTTGCTCTGGTCAGAAGTCACAAAGGAATTAAACTTCATTTCTGGATGCTGCTGCTTCAATGATGGCTGCAAAAGGGCAGCAACTATCTCACTAAGAAGGTAACCAACTCATTTGGTTTGCCCAGCATCCCAGGAATCGCTCCATGTATCATGCAAACCAGGAAGGCTGGTCGACCTACTTGCAGGCTATCTGGATCTGTTATCCATGTGAACAAACTGAGATGAGCTGGCTTCCCAGGATTCCGTGTAGCCATAAATGCTGGTCAGTCACACGCAAATTATTGGTTGGGCCCTGGCTGGTATTGCTCGGTGGGTAGCGTGTTGGCCCACACATGGAAGGGTCTTGGGTTTAATTCCTGGTCAAGGGCGCTTACCTGGGTTGCAGGTTCAATCCCCAGGCCCGGTTGGGGTGCGTGTGGGAGGCAACCAGTCCATGTGTCACATGGACGTTTCTCTCTGTCTCTCCCCCTCCCTTCCACTCTCTCCAAAAGTCAATGGAAAAATATCCTCGCCCTAGCTGGTTTGGCTCACTGGATGGAGCGTCGGCCGGCGGACTGAAGGGTCCCAGGTTTGATTCCGGTCAAGGGCATGTACCTTGGTTGCGGGCACATACCCAGTAGGGGGTGTGCAGGAGGCAGCTGATTGATGTTTCTCTCTCATCGATGTTTCTAACTCTCTATCCTTCTCCCTTCCTCTCTGTAAAAAATCAATAAAATATAAAAAGAAAAGAAAAATATCCTCGGGTGAGGATTAACAAAAAAATAATGGGTTGGGCGAGGCTCTCATCAAAGGCTGTTAAAGGGGGCACACTCACTAAGCACATATTCCTTTATTTTGACCTTTGCCACCTTTTTTGTCTCCTGTCCAAAACTGACCTTACTTTCTGCTTAAAATATAGATCTCCTACACCTGGAAATGGAGTTACCATCTTGCAGACATGAAGACCCAAGTCAGATTCTAACTATGGTGGATGAGAGAGGCTATTCCTGCCTAAACTGCCTACCTCTATACTTGGTTATATGAATAATAAACACCTTACTTGTGTTAGCTACTGTCTGTGACGTTCCTGTTACGTGTTGCCAAAGTAAATGTCTTAGAATTCTTCTGAAAAAGAATGGGTAAACTGTGAAGCATCTATACAATGGAATGATCCAGCATTAAAAAGAAATGAGCTATAAAGCCAGGAAAAGACATGAAGGACATTTAAATGCATATCAGTAAGTAAAAGACGACCATCTGAAACGGCTACATACTAGATGATTCCAACTATGTGAAATCCTGGAAAGGCAAACATATGGAGACAAAAAGGTTTTCAGGGTTTAGTGGGGGGAGAGGGATGAATAAGTGGAGCCTGGGGGGCAGTGAAACTATTCTGTGTGATCCTATGATGGTGGGTATGTCTCATACATTTATCAAAACCCACAAAATGTCCAACACCAAGGTGAACTAACGAACATGGACGATAGGTTCATTAACTACCACGTTGGTGGAAGAGGTGGGGGAGGCTGTGCATGTGTGGGGGCAGGGGTTATATGGAAGAACTCTTGTACTTTCTGCTCAATGTCACAGTGAGCCTGAAAGTGCTCTAAAAATTGTGTCCATTAAAAAACAAGAATGAACTAAAATTTAAGAAAATGTGAGCGAAATTAAGAGCCTAGTCAAGATTTTAAGGAGATGCTTCTAGATTAAGTCTAAAAGTTTCTAAGTCCTCAATACCTGTAGAAAAGTAATTCATATGCCACTTAAATCTGTGATCTTTTTTGTCTTTAAAAAAAAAAAATCTGTGATCTTTTGAGAAGAGAAGCCCATTGGGACCTCTACTTGACAGTCTTTTCTGAGCAGTTACATATACAGACCATTCCAGTTTTTGTCTTGTGTGTGTGTGTGTGTGTGTGTATGTGTGTGCGTGCGTGAAAATAATTTAGATAGAGGGCCTGCTACCAGAGGGAGATAAAATTATAGTTTAATTTAAATTAATGTTTGACAGACGGAGGAACCTAGCAAGGCCTTTCTTTCTTAATCCTCATGAGGATATGGTTTTTTATTTTGGGGGAGGAAAATGGGGGAGGGAGAGAGAAATATCAGTGTGAGAGAGAAACATCTATTGTTTGACTCCTGTACACACCCCAATTGGAGATCAGACTCATAACCTAGGCATATGTCCTGACTGGGAATCAAACCTGCAACCTTCTGGTGTATGGGATGAATGATTCTTTAACCAACTGAGCCACGTTGCTAGAGCTAGGCCATTCCTGTTTTGATGTGTCCAGCCCTGTAACTTAACTATGGCACAGTCACAGCGCACTTACGTGTCTAAATGATTCTTCAGCAAGTCGTACACCAACACATTGTTACACTGCTTTGCAAAATACATTGCGCTAGTTTGGTGCTTTGACAGAATATTGCAGTCGGCTCCACATTCAATTACAAGTCGTACAATATCCAAATTTCCTCTTTTACAGGCCTAAGTCCCAAAAAAAAAGGAGCAATAATTAACTAAAGTTAACTACCAGTCAGTGTTTGTCCTTTTCTTCACACATGAGACAGCCTGGGAGCTCTTTGTGAAGAGAGGGAAAGAAGGTTGGAAAAAACCTGGAGTTGGGTCTCCCTAGGTATTAGAAACGTTTACATAAACAAGAGGGGTCCCGTACAGAAATCTGTGCTACATTCAAAACGATACCTCTATCCCAACCCAGAAGAAACACCAGGCCTTCTTAAGCTCCACTCTCCATCCATGTCCTGTTGTCTTATTAGGAAAGCCCTGGGAATCTAAAGTGCCTCTTAGCATCACAAAATCTCAGAATTTTCCTAGTATCTGCTCTGAGGAGAGTAACAAGCATGGATACATGTCTGAATTTAAATCCAGAATGGCCCTGAGACACACTTTAAAGACCACTCTAGAGTGTCTGTTTAGAACCCACTTGGTGATTTCTCAGTAAGATAGTTTTAATTCATTCTTTGAATGCTACCTCTGCTCTAAACATTGGACAATTTACAAACATAATGGAAAACAAATTCAAAAGTAGGGGTCCTGAACAAAATATTTCCACGAGCCACCAATGAAATGGAAACACAAACAGTGAGCCGGGTTTAAACCCTAAGTGTAAAACCCTAAGGCTGAAGCAGCAGGCGGGCCAGGCCTTTAGAATAACGAATTAGAAAGCAGATTCAGGCAGCCCACTGTGAACCTGGCTGTGGCCATGCTTGTTTACTGACTCATGAAAGAAGGCTGAAAACAGACTGCAGACAAACGCCAATAGCTCATAAACTGTGTCTAAGGACAGGGCAGCAGCACAGCCTCCACTTGGGGAACTAAAACATTACTAGGTGTTAAAAACTACTGTATCCTAATAGCATTTTACGCCAGGAACCCAGAACTGCCCTAGGAAAAGACTAGAACATGCAGAACTTGCCCCCATAGATGCAAATGCAAAACCACTAACCATGGAGGGGTAGTACAGGAGTGCACGGGGGCAGCTTTAACAACCTTCCACTTAAAACTACCTGCAAACCACAATTCCTAATACACAATGGATGAAGTGATTAATTCACCTATAAAAACTAGATTATAGCCTCCACTTCTCCACTCCTTGGGCTCTGTGCATAGCCCACTCCACAGTTCCCATTTGCACAGTTCATCCCTGTTCACAGCCACAGTGAGGCCACCTGTCACAGTAACCCTAAGGCTGCCTGGGAGCCACAGGACTGAACCTTGTCTGGACTCTGATGTAATCCCTTAGCTCCACGCTTACTCCTCTCGCATTACTCATCACACTACATGTTAAGTGCTTCTCTGATGCTACTTTTCCCATTCATCTATCATGTGCAATCCAGAGATTATCTTGTTCCCCATCAAATCCCCAGGCCCTAGCTGTCGGAGACCCCAACATACACATCTGAGGCATGGAGGGGATGAGCAATCATGTGAGGCATTTACCTTCATTAAAGCGGTCTCACCACTGCTCTGCTGGACATTTACAAAAGCTCCTGCTTCCAAAAGAATAGCCACTGTAGTTAAAAAGTTCTATTAAAGAAAAGAAAACAAATTTAATTCTTCAAATTCTTATATTCAAAAGTAAGATATTTTTGGATGTTTTGAAACTTTTAACGACCAGGAAAAAGAGAATCTATCCCAAGAAGGTAGGTGAAATTTCCTGGTTCTTTACTATGCAGGGTCTTGTGAGAACCAGAGGTGCTGGGTGGGTTAAGTCCCCTGCCCAGCCACACTCTGTTTTGCCAGCGAGTTCAATCTGAGGGTTAACCATTGCCTTCTACATAAGACCCTCTGCATAGCAATCCTTTAGATCAGTGGTTCTCAACCTTCTGGCCCTTTAAATACAGTTCCTCATGTTGTGACCCAACCATAAAATTATTTTCATTGCTACTTCAAAACTGTAATGTTGCTACTGTTTTGAATCGTAATGTAAATATCTGATATGCAAGATGGTCTTAGGCGACCCCTGTGAAAGGGTCATTCGACCGCGAAAGGGATCGCGACCCACAGGTTGAGAACTGCTGCTTTAGATAGATAATATATGGGAACATTTTAATTATTTTCAATTGGAAATGATTTTTCAATCAAGACCCTATTGATTGAAACTAATTTTAGTACCTTAATCGGAGGTCCTGTTGAATATAAATCCCTTCCAACTAGATAATCATTTTGAAAATTCAACTGCAAAGTATTATTGTTGATTTAAAAGAAAGCATCCATTCATGATAAGTCATAGATAAACTGAAATATAAAATTAAGTTGACTGTATGACTGTTATATTTCACTACAGAAACAGATTTTGTCTTATTCCAGGAGCAGGAATTCCTGTACGACTATGAAATGGCTGCACTGTGAGTGACCAACCTTTTCAGCTGCATGAATGAGTGCGGTGGTCCCATTCTTCTGTCTGCCATTCACTTTGGCTCCCTTTCTGATGAGAAGCCTCAGTAGATCGTCCTGACCTCCAGCTGCAGCAAGCATCACCAGTGTCATCCCACTTGAATCCTTCATTAGTTTTGTGTAAGGAAAAATGTCAATGTTTAATCATAAAAATTGTATAACTAAGTTCTTTTCATCTAGACTGTTTCAACGTGAAATTATTAAAGTACATTGATTTAAGCATCTACTTAATTTTTTTCACTAAAATATCTTAATAAAAAATAAAAAACTAATAACCTTTGGAATTTTATATATATAAATGTTACTATGGGAACCTTAATCAGAGTACACTGGATGTTCAAGGCCAATCTAAGCCAGGACATAGCAATCTTACTGTATGCAGTGAGCAGGTGTACCTTTCTGAGGCCCAAATATTGATGTCACTATTTGGCAAGAAGCCTCTTTTGTCTAAGTTGGTATAAAAATGTATTACTAACCAGGTGGTACAAGGCTGTTTTTATGTAAAGGCTGCTTTTATGTAGAGCTGGGCTGCTGTGTGTGCAATGGCTCCTATGTTTGCTTAGGTTGCTTTGTGCAGCTACTGCTTAGTAAGCTACTTTGAAGAACTGCTTTGTCTAATGGCTACTTGGTCTGCAATAAAGACTCTCTCTTATACGCCTTCGACTTCTCATGTCTTTTCTGTCTAATACTCGGCGTCCATGAAGGTCCAGTTCTTGGCAGAGAAGGACCTGTGCTCCCACAGTTAGCATAGTCAAGCAGGATCAAAGAGTAAGTATTCCAACAGTTATAAAATTTTACAACTTCGATGTATTATGTTCTAAAGGCACATCAATACTTTGCACAAATCTTGAAGCTATCTAGATGGCAAAGGTATTTATCTCAAATTTCAGGTCTAAAAGTTTCCTTGTGTTCTAGGCAAAACTCATACATTGATTATATTCATTTAGTTGGCCCAAAGATGTAAGGCTAGAAATGACCACTGGTCACCTAAGCCCAGTGTATTGAGGACACAATGAAATGAATGTTATCTGGGTTAAAAAACCATTGCTAACTGCTGGGAAGTAAGAGTTTAACTGCTCTAAGGATAAAAAAGATTCATAAGTAAGGAACAACACTGATATGAAAAAAGTGAGTAAAACAACTGCTTTGGATAAGATAAAATTACGTAAAGTTGGTGAATAATAAAAAGGTAAGTATTAGCTAAAATTATTTCCAATTGCTAGTTAAAACGAACACCAGATGAGAAAACCAAACCATTAATTACCATCTGATACAACCAAATTCCAAGAGTATGAATTAATTTGGTTATAATCTGAAAATTTTAGCAGAATTTGCCAGTATGAGTAATTTGAGGAAACACTAATGTAAGAAAAATTATTTCTAGCAATAGCACTTTCTCTAGATTTATAAAAATCTAACTTTAGAAAGTTCCCTGCATGCATCTCACAAAGACTGGGTGAGTTGGAGAGTAGGGGCCATAGCCAGGGTGGTGGGAGGAGGAGGAGAGGAGGAGGCAGTGGCAGCAAATAAATGGCTCTGAAGCAGGACCAGAGTCTGAATTTCAGGAGGGTTAGTGAGTGATGTGCTTTCATAGGCCTCCCTTTTTTTTTTTTTAAATCCTCACCCAAGGATATATTTAGGGAGGGAGGGAGGGAGAAAGAGGGGTGGAGGGAGAGAGCGAGAGAATGCTCGGAGTGAGGACTGAACCCACAACCTAGGTATGTGCTGTGACCAGGAATCGAACACTCCACTTTTTGGTGCAACCAACTGAACCACCCAGCCAGGGCAACAAAGCTGTTTTTGAATGCTGGCGGTTCTATTCCTTTGACACTACTCACTTTTATAATACGTTTCTGTTATATGACAAAGTGCTCTAATTCCTAATGCAAAAGGTTGAATTTAGTACCTATAACTGAAGATACTCATCCACTTATGGTTTTTTTTAAACTGGTGCTTAAAGAATCCAACCTTTGCAAATCTATATTGTTCCTTAGGCATTTTATCTTTGCTCAGATTGTTGAAAAGTGGTGGCTTGTTTTGTGACTAATGCATGTTTTACCTTGACAGATGCAATGCACTGTGTAGCTACAATTTTCTGGAAAAGTAAATCTTTTAGGAATTGTTATTCAAATCTTCAAAGAAAACATCTGCTAAAACCCAACATGCATCCCCGATACTTAAGCAGCTTAAAAAAAAAAAAAAGAGTATAGGAGGTAAACCACCAACAAGACAGAAATCAAACCTGATGCCATGACCCTGAGGGAAAATCCTACTCAGACCAAAAACAGAACAGATCACTTCTATCACCACTGTTGTTCAGATATCACCAATTTCACAAGACCAAAGAAAGAAATATTGAAAATAAGGGAAACAAAATAGTTATTTTTAGCAAGTGGTCAAACTATCTAGAAAGTAACTTTAAAATTACCACAGTAAGAGAATTTTCTAAAGTGGCTGGAGACACAAACACAAACAGAAATCAATAGCTTTATCACAGTTAGAAAACAAAATGTAGGAGAAAAAAGATCTCATAATCATAGCAAGATAATTACAAAACTATAACATATTTAGAAATTGATCTGAAATAAATAATAACTATGAAGAAAAAAATTGTTTTGCTTAAGGAATTAAAATAAAGAGCTGAATGTAGTTATGTTCCTAAATGGAAGACTGAAAATGTAATCATGTTAATTCTCAGCCAAATTGATCTATATATTTCATGCAATTTTAATCAAAACAATTTTTTGAAGTGTAACCTCAAATGATTAAAGATCCACAACTATAAGCAAGAAAATGAAAGAAGAAAATATATAAATCTTTTCTAAGCAAGACAAGACACCCAAAAGCCATAAAGGAAAAGATCAACAGATGTAACTACCTAAAAATATAAGCCCTCTACCCTGGCCTGGTGGCTAGGTTGGACCTTCGTCTTGGACACCATAAGCTGGTGGGTTCAATTCCTGATCAGGGCACATACCCAGGATGCCAGTTCAATTCCCATTCTGGGTGCGTGCTGGAGGCAACTGACCAATGTTTCTCTCTGTCTCGAAGAAAGACATTCTCAGGTGAGAAAATAAAAATAAACAGAAACCCTCCAAGCAATAAAAGATTAAAAAAACAAAAACAAAAAACCAACAAAGCTAAAAACCAGGAAAAAAGGGGTTAATATGCTTCCATATTTAAAAAAACACACAAAATATTCTCCCATTTTTTGGGGGGGGAGGCAACCAAATTTTTGGTGGCCTTGTTTCAACAAGGCTGAAAAAAAAAATTCATAAATCAGTATAAAACCCACGGCAACAATAGGAAGTCAGGCAGTTGCTGTTAATAGACAGCTCTCAATGAAACACAGTGACTTGAAACACCACCCCTAATAGCAGCAGAGGTTAAACCATTGACAAAATCAGAAGGATCATAGCTGAACCAAATGGTCACTTTAGGGGTGGGAATACAGGGACTAAAATTTTCTACATTCTGCTATTTTTGAATTTTATAAAATGAAAATGCAATACTTTTGTAGCTAAATAAAAAAGAAAACAATTATTTTAAAAGCTAATTTACATATTCCTTTCATGAGATTTTACAAAGATGTATTTACTACCTCTTGGTCCAGGTTATATTCTTCATTTGAATTAAGTGCAACCTTCACAGTAATATAATCCCCATTTTTCACAGCATCTCTCAATAAATCTAAAATGAAAGAAATGATATTAGGTTTCTGTATCTAGATTTATGAAAAGGATCCTCATAACTCCCACACTACTCACTGCTTGGAATGGCATCTGTTACAGAAAAGTTCTCATCTTCCCCATCAAGATGCTTTTGAAAATCTTCTAGTTTCATCCATTCCAGCTGCAGGTCCATGCCTAGACTCAAAATCTGCTGTCTGCCATCTGGAACACAGAAGGGCTTTAAAATACTTTTTTCTGTACTGACTTAACCAAAACTTTATATACACCTTTAACATATGTCATTATGTAACTGAGTCTTCAATGAAATTTCTGATTTTCTTTGGTGAGTAAACATAAACTACCCATATTTAGAAGTTACAGTGCTTCAAAAGCTTAAAGATAAATTGGTAAACTATTAATTATAAAATAGTAAAATATGAATTGTAAGTATAAGATTAAGTAGTTCAAAGGAAGAGAGAAACTAGAGTCAGTAAGAGGAACTGCTAACATTTCTTTCTTTGGCCATTCTTCTTGTACATTGCTTTCAATCATTGGAAATGTGTAAATCAGACATGTGTGTAAATAACAGTAAATGCCCTTTGATCCTTCCAGACTCGGATCACACTTTTCCTCCTGAAAGCCCTCTCTACTGAGTGTACTCCAGGCCCCACCACCACCATTAAGCAAATGCTGGTCTCAGTTGTCTGATCCCTGGACTCAGTGAGTCTTTTTTTTTTTTTTTTTTTTTTTTAATATATTTTATTGATTTTTTACAGAGAGGAAGGGAGAGAGATAGAGAGTTAGAAACATCGATCAGCTGCCTCCTGCACATCTCCTACTGGGGATGTGCCCACAACCCAGGTACATGCCCTAGACCGGAATCAAACCTGGGACCTTTCAGTCCGCAGGCCGACGCTCTATCCACTGAGCCAAACCGGTTTTGGTGTGAGTCTTAAGCATAACTCATTTGGGAGAAATTAAAAATGACTGAAAAGCACAAATAGTTAAAGGCTTTTACCTAAAACCAATTCCTCAAATGACACAGATATTATGCAGTTAACCTTACAAATAGTTAAAGGCTTTTACCTAAAACCAATTCCTCAAATGACACAGATATTATGCAGTTAACCTTGCCATAGAAATGGAATTTGTAAAAGCAATGCAAATACACTTCTCCCAAAGCTCTCAACTGGAACCAGCACTGAGCATGGAGACATGACAGCACAGCCTCGAGTGACACACTTAGATCTGTACACTAGCTCCCTGTTAGCTGTGTGACTTTAAGTTACAGAACTCACTATACCTCCCTCTCTGAATAGAAAAAGCAGCTAACACTCCATAAGGATTGTATAATTATTTCTGTGAATTAATGCATTTAGACTATAATGACCTGTGAGATCACCGTCGAGGAAAGCGAGCCACCTCCTCCCAAAACTCAGGGAAACCACAAACCACAGGAAGCACTGAGGAGGCCATACAAATGAAAGGCCATATAAATGGAGACAAGGCCATCTAATTTACAGGATTGTTAAGTAACAGAACACAGAGCTCCAAATCAAGAGCTCTCTTCCCCATGAATCTATCTGGTTTTTAAATCTGCAAGGACCTGATTCTGAGGTGTCTGAACATGCCCAGGTAAGTGCTGTTATCTCCTGCTATAGTTTTATACAGCGGCCTCAACAGAACATGGGGCGATTACTGCTGATGCCCGATACATGGTCTAGTTGGGCAACCTGTCCAGTGGGGTTACAGCTGTTATTCAACCCAACACAACACTGTCTGTATGGAAACAAAGAGGGCCTGCAGCAGCCAGTGGGCTGAACTCAGTAGCTTGGCTGATGATCAGTCAAGAGCCCTGGCCATTAATACTTTGCACTAATAGGTGGGCTACTCTAAAGGGGTTGACCCTACGGCTCAGGCAGTGTGAAGCCACAGGTGGATGATCATGAGTGAGCTTTTGTGGGGTCAGGACATGTGGAAAGACATTTGAGTCCACCTGCAAGAACCTAAGGCTCCTCACTTTTCCACATCCCAACACATGAGGCACTAACACCCGCTGGCAATCAGGAAAGTGAGGCCCTAACAGCTGACCCTTCAGTGGATGCAGCAGATAGGTACACAGGAGTGGCCACCACAACGCCTGGGTCGGATGGGAGTATCGCTCCAGAAATAGTGACTTGTTAATGCAGTGACAGTATTAAACAATTTATAGGGCAACTGCCACAGGAGTTGGGGGCCACACATTCATTGTATCAGCCCCTCCCTCCAAGTGGGGCAAACCAAAGCTATTCCCTGTTGCTATGCAAACCAGGCTGCCACTACTAGAGGATTAAAGAAGTTGAGAAGACAGTGATGGGGTCACGTTTTAGAGATCACAATGTGCTAGACTGGGCAGAAGAACATGACACTGACTGGAGGCCCATCCCCCTTATGACCTGCAGGCAATAGGGCTGGTAGAAAGGAATGAGTAGTAAAGCCACAGATTATGTTACTACCAGGTAAACCGCTATACCAAGGTGAGCTAAAGTACTATCCCAGGCTTTCATACAGTTGAATGATCAGCCAGTAGGGCCCATTGTCCATATGACAGACTAGAGACCCCTGTTGAGGTACCTAATGCCATAAAGCAGGGGTGGGGAACGCCTGCCTGGCCCCGGCCCACAAAATCATTTGGTCTGGCCCTGCCAAGGCATTAGGGGTGAGTTAATTAAATGTTTGACCAAATACAGCAGGCTAATTTTTCTAAGTTAATAATTTTGTATGGCTGGCAAATGATGTTATAAATATCCCAATAGCCCTTGACAGAAAAAAGGTTCCCCACTCATGCCATAAAGGAACATAAGTCACAAGAGACAGTCATTGCCCTGACTCGAATTGTGGACCAAAGTGCTGTGCTGCTAAGAACATGAAGCCCCCCTCACACCTGGGAGAAGCATCCATCATCTATAGGAATTTGCAATGAGATGTCCCACCGGGATGAGGGTGACTTGGCATCCCAGGTGAGGGGAACTACACTGGCACCCTGCTGTCCTGCCAGATGACCTGTGGAAAAGCACCTGGAAAGAAACATGCACCACAGAGAGGAGAGGAGCTGGGGGTCCCCAGTCTGGCATGTTCTACTCCCAGCAGTCCATTTCCTCACCCTGTGTGCTCCAGCTGACATGGATGGTACACATGTCCTGGTCAAGTTCCTAAAGTTGCTAACCCCCCTCTCCTCAAGGCCAGATTTGGTTTCCCATGGATGCCATCATTCAGCCACCATCTCTGTTCCCTCCATTGCCCTGGATGATGTTATGACACACAAGAAAGCCCCTACACTAAGCTCACCCAAGCCAACAAAGCCCATCTTCATTGAATACTGAAAAGTCCCTAAGAGAGAGCTGTCCTCTGAAGCAGGATGGCTTGGACATTACTACTGCGTCACAAGGAGGCAGACCTGTGCCACTGTCCAAACACATTGTGTTCACACCATTAGTCTGCTAATGTATCACATTGAGGACACAAGTGAATGCACTGAGTGATCTGACCCCTAGCCTAGCAGACTTAATAAATCAGTGGTTCTGATCTTGGGGCTTAAAGGAAAAATTATTACTTGCTTTGGGAATCATTGTCTTAACCTGTTATTGCTTGCATATGCCTGTACTGTGGCTGTGGTGTCTGTCTCCAATGCAACCAGAGAGAGGCCAAATGAGCCACTTCCATGCTGTGAAAACCCATGCTGACCCCTCAAGGGCACATTGCGGAAGAGGAGGCATGTGACATTGTAAGAGCCAGTCACAAGGGGTGGAGCGTTGGAAGAGGTCATTCAAAGGACATGACCATCGATTGAACATCATAGGCAACTGGAGGTTCCCTCAACCCTCCCATACCTAGAATGTATGTCCTCACCGCCGTTCTCCCACAGTGGGAGCCACTTCAGGGATGCAGCCTTGATAGCAGAAGGTATTGTGAGACCACCCGAACATCATTTAGGCCTCTCTATAAACTTTAAGACTTGGCAGGCAGTTTGGAGATCTACTTGCCTCACAGTCTCCCAAGATGAGCCTCGTATGTAAGTTCCCTTGCTTATTCTACTTGCCAACTACCAATATGGGGTGGCTGCCTTCCAGTTTCTCCCTGCCCTTTCTGTAAAGGGTGGTTCAGATGTCATCTGGGGATGTCCAAGGGTACAAACCAACATCTACTGTGTGTGTTCACTGCCTGGTATCCTAAATAGCAGAGCTGCTATTTGGCATCTGGCCTTGGGGCAAGCCATTTCCTCCTCTCCCTTGTCTATATATAGGTCCTAGCAATTGTCCCAATTTCCTATAAGCTAATGCATCTAAAAGCATGATTTACCTGATACCCAGGGCCTAACTGTTTTGTAGTACCAAGGCAACCCAGACTATCCACTCTGCCATATATTCTGTAACATTAATTCTCTTCAACTTTTTCAAGATTCAAATGATAGTTTTATCAGATTTATTCTGTCCTAGTTATAAGTACATATATATTGCACTCTTTCTGTTACCCTCACAGCCATGTGCCCAATATTCCACACATTGACCTCCCTCCTCAGCCAATCCCAACATCATCAGGAGAGCATTTACAAACATGCCATTTAGGAAGTGTCATTTGCTGCAGTTAAAAGGATAGAATATAAGTAAGTCTGCATTTGATAATTTTCTGAAAGAAATCTATTAGGTATACAATCAAGCTACTTAGCAAGAGTGATAAAGGCAGAATACCTGAAATTTGTACAATTTCAAAATGTGCTGGTCACATCATAGGGACGTATAAAATATTTGTGTGGTCAATTTAAAAACCACAGAATGGCCTAAGTTTTCAATATAAAAAGCTGTTTATTCAGGAAATTGAAACAAAATCGTCTATGCCTTTATTCTCTGATCTTGAGTTACAATGGGAAAAAATGAGGTGAGTGAAATCATACAGCCCTGAGAAAATATGCAAACTGACTGCAAACACTCACCAGAATTCTCGTCGGCTGGGCACATACCATCTAGAACATCCTGATCACCTTCTGCAGCTATACATGCCCATGTGTCAGTCTCATCTCTTGTATTTCTCCTTTCTTTAAGTACCTGATTGTTTTCCTTGGTTTTATGATCTTCTGCAAAATTACAATCCAGTGGTGTTTCTTCTCTTTTCTGATTATTCTCAGGAAAATCATTTTTTCCTTCTGGAGTTAATTTAAATAAATCAAATGCATTTCTGATTTCCTTAAATGCTAGTGAAAAAAATAAAAATGGTAATGAATAGGAACCACAATTTCTGTTGTAATCAAAAGAAAATCTGGGTTTGTGTTAAAGAAACAGGTATTTCCTTAATTTTTACTAATATCTACCTTGGTTCTAAAGCATCATTAGGTTTGTACTATCAAACCCATGAAGCTGTTTCAATTGGTCTTTCTATTGGCTGCTCAATGCTTAGAAAGGGTTTACATAGAAAGTGAATGGCTGTTTTCCACTGTTATGAACCATTCCCAGTTTTGACAAGACAGTCAGCCTCAAAATAACCCCAGTCATACCAGCAACTGTCCTGCTTACACATCTGCCTACAACTGTAACCTGAAGCTAACATTGTACACAATGATCTCTGGGGTGAGTGGGGAAATGGGAGGGTACCATGCCAGCACACTGACTGTGCATCTGGTAGAAATTCGCAGATGCATGTGAAACTTCCACACAACTTTTTTTAAAAACATATATTTTTATTAATTCCAGAGAGGAAGAGAGAGGGAGAGAGAGACAGAAATATCAATGATGAGAGTCATTGATCGGCTGCCTCCTGCATGCTCCACCCTGGGGATCAAGCCTGCAACCTGGGCATGTGCCTCGACTAGGAATCGAACCCTGACCTCCTGGTTCATAGGTCAATGCTCAACTATTGAGACACACCAGCTGGTTCAACTTTTAACAAAAAATAAAAGTGAAAAGAAGATTGGCAAAGCACTAGATCTGACATAATAACCAGAAAAGGGGCAGATACACGGAATAGGCTGGTCCAACACCCACCTGTGGCGGTTTAAAATCGGGAGGCATGGCCAGGGGAGGTATGGCCAGGGGAGGTATGGCCTTGACCTAGTAACTCAGTTGGTTAGAGCATTATCCCAATATGCCAAGGATGCAGGTTTGATTCCTGGTCAGGGCACATATAAGAATCAACCAATGACTGCATAAATAAGTGGGACAATAAAGCAATGTTTCTCTCTCTCTGAAAATAAATTAATAAAATAAAATTGGGCCCTGGCCAGTGTTGCTTGATGGTTAGAGTGTCAGCCTGCACATCGAAGGGTCACGGGTTTGATCCCCAGCCCTGGTCAGAACATGTGTGGGAGGCAGCCAATTTATTTGTCTCTCTCACATTGATATATGTCTCTCCCCCCACCCCCCCATCTCTGTCTCTCTCCCTTCCACTCTAAAAATCAATGGGGGGAAAAAAATCTAGGTGAGGATTAACAAAAAAATAAAAAAATAAATATAAGACAAGTCCCCATAACTTCTGGCTGGAAAAACCACCAGGGACTGTGGCTGAGGGAGATGAAGGGCTGCTAGAATCCCAGGCAATTCCTCTTAAAGGATCCATGCATGGACTTAGTCCAACTCACTCCCTTTAAGCTTCAGTGATGGGGTAGCAGCTTGAAAGGAAACAGGGACTTACGAGAAGGAACTGAATTTTCTGTCATGAGGGCAAGAGCAGGGGAGGGGGCAGCTTACTGCCCAAATGAAAAGTGCAGGCAGAAGCCTTATCTGAGTCTCCATTAACCTGGCTCACACTCTTTACCACACCCAGTTTGTGGACCCACCCAAGCCATTTCCAGTGGCTTTTCCTTACAAATGGCCTCTCTTGCCTTATGCTTCGAACTTACTGAAAACCTCTCAAACATGCAGCATCTGGCCCCTGCATATCCCACACCTCTTGCTAAGTGGCCTCAGGCCCAGCACTACCAACAGCCAACCTTGGTTCACAGCTTTGCCTCTCCTGGGTACCTCCAAGCCCAACATAAGTAGCAGCCATCTGCAGATCACTCTATAACTCCTTACCAGGCGGCTGACCTTGCACTTCCTGGGAGGTTCCACAGCCAGGGCATCCAGGGGACAGCTGCAAACCATACCAGATTGCAACCCTACCAACCCCAAAAGTGATACACTCAAGGGGCAGACTCATGGACATCAAAGCCCCACTGAAGCATGTATTGCTCCACAGGATCCACTCCTGCACAGCAGCTCCTCTGCTGTAGCTGCAGAAGGGTCTCACAGCTGATTGGCCTGGGAGTCCATCCCTCTCAGTGAGGCCAAAAGCAATCAACACTTAATACAACAGGACAGTGCACACAGCTCAGACAGGAGCACACCTGGAGTGCCCAGCTCTAGTGACTCAGGAAGGTGCGCCACAGGGCCCTACAGGACACCTACGACAAAAGGCTATTCTACCAAGTCCAGGAGACATAGCAGCTCTAATACATAGAAACAAACATATGCAGACACGAAAAAAATAAGTTCCAAATGAAAGAACAAGAGCAATCTCCAGATAAAGAACTAAATGAAATGGAAGCAAACAAACAACCAAATACAGAGTTCAAAACAATGGAACTTAGTGAGAACTTCAACAGCATGAAAAAGGACAAAGAAACCATAATAAAGAATCAGTCAGAAATGAATAGTACATTTACTAAAATGAAAAATAATTTACAAGGAATCAACAGTAGTGTAGATGATGATGAGAATCAAAGCAGCAATTTGGAATACAAGAAAGCAAACAACAACAAAACACTCAATCAGAACAGCAAAAAGAAAAAAGAATCCAAAAATATGAAGATAGTGTAAGGAGCTTCTGAGAAAACTTGGAAGCATGCAAACATTTGCATCACGGGAGTACCAGTAGGAAAAAAGAGAGAATAAGGAATTGAAAACCTATTTGAAAAAAGGACAGCCCTGGCTTGTGTGGCTAAGTGTTTAGAACTTCAGCCTATGCACCGAAGGGTTGCGGATTTGATTCCCAGTCAAGGGTAGGGGAATTAAGTTGCAGATTCAATCCCCAGCCCTGGTCAGGGCATGTGGAGGAGGCAACCAATTGATGTGTCTCTCTTGCACCAATGTTTCTCTCTCTCTCCCTCCTTCCCTGCCTCTCTCTCTCTTGCCCCCTCCCCACTTCCCTCCCTTCCACTCTCTGAATATCCTCTGGTGAGGATTAACAACAACAACAACAAAAAGATAGAAAATATCCCTAACCTGGTGAAGGAAATAGACACACAAGTTCAGGAAGTGCTGAGTCCCAAACAAGATGACCCAAGGAGGTCTAAACCAAGACACATCATAATTAAAATGTTAAAGACAAAGAAAGTGTCTTAAAAGCAGCAAGAGAAAAACTGTTGGTTATCTACAAGAGAGCTCCCATAAGACTGTCAGCTGATTTCTCAACAGAAACTTTGCAGGTCAGAAAGGAGGTTGCAAAAAATATTCAAAGGGATGAATAGCAAGGACTTACAACTAAGATTACCCAGTAAACCTCCCAGTTAGAATCGAAGGACATATAAAGAGCTTTCCAGACAAGAAAAAGTAAAAGGAGCCCACCACCAAACCAGCATTACATGACATGTTAAAGGGTTTTAAGAAGAAAAAAGATTAAAAAAATGAACAATAAAACGGCAATAAATATGTACCTATCAACAGTTGAATCCAAGAAACAAAATAAGCAAACAAGCAGAACAAAACAGACTCACAGATACAGAGAAAATTTTGAAGGTTGCCAAGATGGGAGTGGGGGGTGGAGGAATGGGTGAAAAACGTGAAGGGATTAAAAGTACAAACTGGCTTTTATGAAACAATCTTGGGGATGGAAAGTATAGCATAAGGAATATAGTCAACAGCATTCTAATAACTATGTATGGTGTCAGATGGCTATGAGATTTACTGAGATGACCACTTAGTAAGTTATATAATGTCTAATCACTGGGGTGTACACCTGAAACTAATATAATAATGTGTGTCAACTGTAACTGAAAAATAAACAAATGATTTTTTTTAGTTCTGTGACATGGAAGATTAGGAGAGTGTCTCACAGTAAATTTAATTCCTTGTATAAAATATGGAAATGGTAAATGGTAGTATTAACACTCACTGTTTAATCCCTTTGGCTCTTTGCGGCCTTTTTCTTCTTTGTCCAAATCATACCTTTTTTGATATTTTTCTTTGGATTCATTTTTTTTGGTCTCTTTCTCCTGAAAGAGAAACATGTAAGACCCAGAAGAGGAACATAGAAGAGCTCATACCACTTGACACTGACACCTCTGTGTGCCATAGAACCTGACCCTGATGATTAAATCTTGTTCATATAAACTGCTTCCCCAAGCGAGATTATCCCTCAACAATAATTCACAAAACGTCAAATTCAAAACCCAACACCAATGTCAAGTCTATGTTGAGTTTTTTTTACTATCAAAAATAAAGAAAATTAAAAAAAAATGGTACCCGCCCTAACCGGTTTGGCTCAGTGGATAGAGCATCGGCCTACAGACTCAAGGCTCCCAGGTTCAATTCCTGTCAAGGGCATGTACCTTGGTTGTGGGCACATCCCCAGTGGGGAGTTTGCAGGAGGCAGCTGATCGATGTTTCTCACTCTCTATCCCTCTCCCTTCCTCTCTGTAAAAAATCAATAAAATATATTTAAAAAAATGGTACCCTACAATCCTACTAACCAAACATGACTTTTTATTTCTGCCCATTCTTACCTTCTGGATGTTCTAATTTTGCAGATAACTTCGTTGTTTAAAATTCATTTTAAAAATTTACATTGCACAGATATTTTTACATCACTATGTTCATATGTATGTATGGTTTTCTTCACCATAAAATGTTGTACTTTTGATCTCATGATTAATATTTCTGTGGATATATAATAGCTCTCAAATTAATACAACATTTTCTTAACCATTTCTTCATAGACAGACAGACTGGTATTAGTTTTTGTGAAAATAACACTACTATATATTTGTCTACAAAACTCTTTCTCCCTTAAAAATAATTTCCTTAAGTCTACAAAACTGGGAATAATGAATGAAAAAAAATTCACCATTTTTATAGCCCTTGATATGTGAATACCTTCATAATGTGTAAAATAGTTTCATTTTGAAAACCCATAGGAAAATAACTTTTTAAATAAGGGGGCAAATTATTTAATATATTTTTGTAAGAAAAGACTTTTAATTGTTAGTGTACTCAGGGCACTATTAGGTGAGTAAAAAGTGGTATATTCTTAAGACAACAGGGGGAAATATGAAGTAGCATGCAAAAAGCTATAATGCTACTAGGCACACTAAACGCCCTAACAGGAGAAAAACTGTTCCTATAGTTCAGTGATGGCGAACCTATGACACGTGTGTCAGAGGTGACACGTGAACTCATTTTTTTTGGTTGATTTTTCTTTGTTAAATGGCATTTAAATATATAAAATAAATATCAAAAATATAAGTCTTTGTTTTACTATGGTTGCAAATATCAAAAACTTTCTATATGTGACACGGCACCAGAGTTAAGTTAGGGTTTTTCAAAATGCTGACACGCCGAGCTCAAAAGGTTCGTCATCACTGCTATAGTTCCACTGTTTCCTCATTATTAGTGAAACTTCCTGACCACTCAAAAGAGCGCTAGCTAGATGGCAATATTGCTTATCCTGTAAGATTTTAACACATAGTCCTTCAACCAAACCCTCCGGGAGTACTCACTTCTCCAGAGTCAGTGGACCGGAGGCCCCTCTCTTCCCCACCCACCCTTGAGCTCTTTTGTGTCTGGGCCAGTGAAGATGTCAGATTATCTGACTCAGTAGTACTTCTACTTTTGTCTTGATTCCTCTGCTTTTTATGTGCATTTTTCTTCTCTAAAGAAAGGTTCTTGTTTTCTAGCTTTTTGTTCTCTTTAAGTTCCTCAGCCTTTCTGGGTTTCTTTTTGTTTCTCCTTCCTCTGACATCAGCATCTTCATCAGCACTTCCGGGGCTGTCCAGGTGTTTATCTAGAACAGCATCTTGAGCTGCATCTAGCCCTGCTTTGTCTTTTCCGCTTTTAATCTTTAGTTTCTCTTCTCTGTTGTCAGACTGTAAATCTTCACTGTCCCCCTCCTGAAAGGGGAGATCATTAAGTAGATCTGATTCAGAGTCCAACTGAGATTCAACACATTTCTCTTTTCTCGTTTTTCTGTTTTCTTTGGAATCTTCTTTTATTTTAGTCTTTAAATCTCTTATTTCACCCTTTTTAACTTTCTTTAGTTCCTTAGTTTCTTTTATATCATCTTTTTTGGGCTTTTTGGATTCCTTTAATTCTTCTTTGGCTTCTGAAATTCTTTTCTTTGTCCTTAAATCAAAAAGTGAAATTTCAGAGTTCTCCAAGTCTGGTTTGGATTTCTCTTTTAGTTTCCCAGGCTTTGCTTTTTTCTTCTTCAGATCATCTGGACTTTTCTCTTCTCTCTGCTTTAATTTTTTCTTTTTCTTTTTTGGAGAAGTATCTTCTTTTGTCTCACTTTGCTGATCGCTATCAGAGTTTGCCTCAAATATGTCATTATTTAAAGATAGTCTCTATAAAATAGAAAATATTTAAATACTCATTAACATAGTAATTCAAAAGTTTTTGGAAAGTAGTACTAATTATATATGGTAGAAATGTCTTTTTTCTCCCCAGCAATTTCTCGACTCCTTATAATTATTTACCTAAACAGAAGTTGCTTAGTATTACTTATATCTCTGATTTAGCAAATAAGACTTGGTAGTGATGATGACCCTCAATTTAAGAAAATAGATAAACACAGAGGAACAAAACTGTTAGCACTGCTGAAGATCTGAAACTAAAGGTCAACCCTATGAACCAAGAGTTCAAGGTTCGATTCCCGGTCAGGCACATGCCCAGGTTGCAGGCTCGATACCCAGTGTGTGGTGTGCAGGAGGCAGCTGATCAATGATTCTCTCTCATCACTGATGTTTCTATCTCTCCCTCTCCCTTCTTCTCTGAAATCAATAAAGAAAAAATAATAATAAAACAACTTCAAAACAAAACAAAAAGTCTTATGTATGGTGATGGTACTGGTGGTGGTGGTGGTAGGGAATGGGGTTGTACATGATTTGAACCTCCAAATACTCCAAAAACACCAAGTAATTTGTACAGACTTTCTTGGTTGCTGAAAAAGTATTTACCAATCCAAACAAAATTTCGTTTTATTTTTTTAAGATTTTAGGTCCCAGAATAGTCATAAACTTGCTGTTAAACTTCACTGTTGCATATGGAATGAGCTAAGATGGCATCCAAATCTCACCTCCACAACTGATATGCTATACAGTTGATCCTTAAACAACACAGGAGTTGGGGGGGGGTGGTGGGGGGGAACAGACTCCTGCACACTCAAAAATTAGAATATAACTTTGAACCCACTAAAACTTTACAGTCATGCTTCAGTATCCATGGGACCCCCACCTCTACAGATAAAAGATATATGGATGCCTGTCCATTATATAAAACTAGGAGCCCAGTGCAAGAATTCATGCACCTTGAAAGGAACTGTGGGCCGCCAAGCTGCGGTGGGCACAAGGGCGGGTCTCGGCCCATCCTCTGTGCCCCCGCCCGGCCCCTCCCACCGCGGACGCCGGAGCCCTCTCTGCTGGCAGCCCTGCTGCCACTGCCACTGCTCCTACATGCTGATGGTGCTGATTCTGCTTGCACCTGCTGACAGCTTGGAGCAATTGGGGCTGGCACCAGCAGTGGGTGCAAGCAGGACCGGCGCTATCAGCGGCTGCTGCCCTAATCACCCCTCAGGAGCAGGGGGAGGTGGAGAAGCCTTCAGGGGCAATCAAGGTCGGCAGCTGCCGCTCACACCCATTGATGGTGCTGAGCCATTGGGGCTGGCGCCAGGCGCCGGCAGCGGGTGTGAGTGCCGGGTGGGACCGTGGTGCGCAGGAGCAAAGAATTTTCAGTAACCACCAGAGGCTCACCCCGATGACAGCAACTGGTGCCCCTGCCTTGGTCTGGCGCCCCTGCACACCTGCTCCACCATCTGGCCGCAGCCAATGCCCGCCATGTTCCACACTCTGCAGCCTGTTGCCGATGCCCACCATGTTCTGTGCGCGCCCCCTGGTGGTCAGCGCACAACATAGCAACCGGTTGTTCAGTTGTTTTGCCGTTTGGTCTATTTGCATATTAGGATTTTACACACACACACACACACACACATACACACACACACACACACACACACGTATATATGGCACATATCAATGTATACACAGTGGGACCTCACATCCACAGTTGAATCCGTAAATGAGAAAACTAAGAATAGGGAGGGTTGGGCTAAAGGTATATTTATTGAGAAAATCCGCACATAAATGGACCTGTGCAGTCAAACCCATATTGTTCAAGTATCAACTGTACTTCAAATTAGGTATGGACTGGAGACAGGGAGAAAAAGGTACTAATTAACAAATAAATGAACTTGTTTATCAAATTGATAATATAACCAAACACAATAATTAACCCAAATAACTTTAACAGTAAACACCCTCAGTGAATTTTGTATGTACAAAAAAAACCCCTGCAACTAAATTTGGAATTTTACAGTAAGATGGGTGTAACAAATCTGAAGCTAATTCCTAATCATTGTTGTACTCAGTGCAGATAATGTTGATGGGAACCAGTATTCTCAGAGTATAAAAAGGGAGCTAGACAATGACCAATGTGAATGAGAGGAGGACATTGTAGTGATGGACTGAAATTACATATATCAATACTAATTTATGATTTAAAACAAAAATGTACGTTTTCCTTAAAGGGCTTAGAAATGATGGTACCCTAGTAGCAGTGAATACATCTTGGCTTCTAAACCCTATTCCCCTCTAGAGAATTAGTGCTGAAGCAGAAAAGTTCATGGCAAAGCAAGGATTTGGTCAAAACTGACAAGGGAATATCAAAAGGACACAGGAACTGGCTTGAAGGGGCTCCCACTAGATAAATTAGGAACCATTTTAGCATTAAGATGAATAACAACAGGAATGGACATAACACACTGACTAAAAAGATTCCATGAGTGTACTGACACTGAGAGGGAAGGGCTTCCCTTTATAAGACACAGACTGAAAAACACAGAATAACAAATAGAAAAATCAATATTTTGCAACCAACACAGTAAAAGCTAATTGAGGCAAGAATCATCCAAGTATTTTAAAATCATGGGGTGATAGGTTGTTGGGGAATAAGAGATTCTCACAGTTTCAAAGATTACAGTCAAGCTTGGTTCTTGAACATCTCCCATCTTGAACAATTCAGTTCTCTACCAAATTGTTCACGGGTAAAAATGTCTCTGTTGTTGAACAAGCTTCAGTTTTTTACCTGACAACCCTTTCCTACTGTATATCAGCATGACAAAAAGCATCTCTCAGGTCACAAAGGAGAAAATGCTCTAATATGAGTCAGTTTATAGCTAACATCTCAAGATATTGTGCTGTGAATATTTTTTAAAAATATATTTTTATTGACCTCAGAGAAAGGGAGAGGGAGAGATAGAAACATCGATGATGAGAGAGAACCATTGGTCGGCTGCCTCCTGCACATCCCCCCACTGAAGATTGAGCCCACAAACTGGGCATGTGCCCCTGACCAGAATCGAACCTGGGACCCTTCAGTCCACAGGCCGGTGCCCTATCCACTGAGCCAATCCGGCTAGGGCATGCTGTGAATATTTTTGTGGGTTGTTTTTTTTTTTGCTTTTGTTGCTGGCAAATGGACAATTAGCACAATTTTAAAACAGAACGAGGCCATCAAGAGTGCTAATGTTACTAATAGTGTGAAAGAAATAATGTTCTTGCACATTATTCACGGTAGCCAAGACACGGAAACAACCAAGGTGTCCTGTGATAGAAGATTGGATAAAGAGGATGTGGTACATCTACACAATGGAATATTTTTCAGCCATAAGAAAGGATGAAATACTGCCATTTGCAACAACATGGATAGACCCTGAGAATATTATGCTAAGTGAAATAAGTAGAAAAAGCTAAGAACCATATGATTTCACTCATATGTGGGATATAAAACAAACTCATGAACACAAACAGCAGTGTGGTAGTTGTCAGAGGGAAAGGGGTGGGAGAAAAGGGGGACCTAATATATGGTCACAGATTTGACTTCTAAATTTAATTTAAAAAAAAAAAGAAAAGAAAGAAACAATGATCAATCACAGGCAATTGAAGAGGCAGAAAAACTATTGATTTGGATAAATGAAAACCACTTGGCCGGTGACAGCATTTCGGAGGCAATGACATGTGAAAAAGCTAAGACGCTGCATACTGACCTCCTGAAAGACAACCTGGAAAGGAGTGTTGACACTGACTCGTTTAAGGCTAGTAGGGAGTGGTTCGATAAATTTAAGAAAAGTGTTTATTTATAGGTTCAACAGTACTGTATTAAACATGTACTGTATTTAAGAAAGGTTTTTAGCCAAAGCCGGTTTGGCTCAGCGGATAGAGCGTCGGCCTGCGGACTGAAGGGTCCCGGGTTCGATTCCGGTCAAGGGCATGTACCTTGGTTGCGGGCATATCCCCAGTGGGAGATGTGCAGGAGGCAGCTGATCAATGTTTCTCTCTCATCGATGTTTCTGGCTCTCTATTTCTCTCCCTTCCTCTCTGTAAAAAATCAATAAAACATATTTTTTTTTAAAAAAGAAAGGTTTTTAAAACAGAATAATTTGGGGGTCTGGGACGAATTAATTCAATTTACATGATTTCTAATGGGAAAAAATGATTTGGTTTTGGAACAAACTGCTTCTCCAACAGCCTTACGGAATGAATTAAGTTCGAAAACCGAGGTTCTACTGTACTTATTAAATTATTTATTATCAGGTTACTTAATATTTTAAAAGTAAAAATGTATTTTTAAAAAGGGTGAAAAAAATAATGGGCCTGATTATCATTTAACTATAATTTATAATCAGCAATAAATTAGAAAACTGACATAATCCTTTTTTAAAAAATCCTCACCTGAGGACATTATCCTAGAGAGAAGAAGGGAGAGAGAGAGAAATATCAATGTGAAAGAGAAACATCAATTGGATGCCTTTCGTAGGTGCTCCAACTGGAGATCAAACCTGCAACCCAGGCAGCACATGCCCCGATGGGGAATCAAACCGGCAACCTTTCTGTGCAGTGGACAATGCTCAACCAATTGAGCCACTCCTGCCAGGCTGACATCCTATCTTGATGTAATTAATGTACACCACACTGAATCTAATCAAGAGAAAGCAAATCGTCTTATTCCAATTTTAGAAAATACTGTTTATTTGTGATTTAACATTAATTTTCATTTAATTCCAATTTAAATGATCTTCTATGAAACAACTGGCCTAAACTCATAAAAAACTGTCCACATCATGAAAGACAAAAGGCTATGGATGTGTTCTAGACTAGGACAGGAAACTAGGAAGACATGAAACGAAATGCCCTGCATAACAGGAAGCAATAAAGGACCTTCAACAAGGACAATGGGGAACACAATGATGTGTCAGCTAGACATCAGACAACAGTGTTACTGATGTAATGCT